GCACATAAGAGACCTGTCGCTCATCCGGATTCTGGTGAAACAAGGTGAAGCATTTAATGATTCTTGTTTATATCAGTTTTCTTTTCAACCGAGAAAAGTAAGTAAAAATAACTTCCATTGTTTGTTTTTCCGATGACGAGCACAGAATATGTATACTACCTTAAAGTTAAATTCATTGATTGTTCTGTACTTGGGAAAATGTAGTTATCCATTGGTTTCATCCGGTGCTGGATCGATATTATTGCCATTAGGCTGATATTAGGAGGATGTGACTAACATATATGGACAATTATTTTGTTTTGTGGTGGTGAATGGATCATATGTCCACAGCAGCTTGCGTGTGTCTGACCTTCGATCAGTTGATCACCAGTTTGTCGCATGCCAGGCTGCTCTCCACCCGAGTTCATACTTTCATCCAGTGCCAGTGCAATTGTATATCTTTATCCTATGTTCTATTTACCCAGCAATACATTTTTGATTGATGATAATGGTGATAATTCAATAAATTTATCAACGGAATCGCTGACATTTTTGGGAAACATTCTGAACTCCAGTTGATATCTCAGATCCGTAACACAACTTGATTGTCTAATCTTCCATAAAATCTGTAATCTAGTTAATTTTACACCATGATTTACTACGATAAACAACGTTTTACTCTGAACTATATGTATATTCTTACAGTTACGCTTTAAGAAACTGTGCTCTACCGATATCACTGCTCACTTCGGCTGGCAGAGCATGAGCTGCATCGATACGTAGGCGGTGCACATGCATGGGTTCGAGTCCAACCGAAGCCATCGTTCTCTCCAGGATTCAGGCATATAGTCCGCGGTCGGCGGCCAGAACAATTTCATAATTTGATATAGAAAATAAATCACGCAGTTCATTGTATACATCTGGAACTATAAAGTTATGAGAGCAAACAGTAAATCTAAAAGAACTTCGCGCAAAACTATTGGGTATGCGCGATTTTCAAATAATTTTCCAGAGATGGATATCCACGCTGATTGCGTACCGTAGAATCCCAGGGAATAGGCGGACCGAGATGAAAATAGATGATAGAAGTGGGTGTGTGCAATTCTTCGTCCCAGAGAGATAGCCAGAGAGCCAGAGGAATTACGCAAACATCCACGTAAGTAAAATGGTACATTGCACGTGAATGCTGCTGCTGTTATTGACAAAAGTATTCCTGACCGATTTTTTTAGTCAGATGTGCAATCTCCTCTCTGGAGTACACACACTAATCATCAAATCCTCGGAATCTCTTCCTCCGAGTTCATGCATATATGAGTACAAGCAAACGCTACTCTCCGTGCGAGATCAGACGTAATTACCCCGATTCGTCGATCGAACTGTCTTATGTATAATTCACCAACTATTATTGCATCATGGTTCATAGCACGAGTGGAGTGCAAGAGAGACAAACAACTCACCATTGGCTTCTGCCAGTCCCAGGTCGTGAATTGTGAATCTATCCAGTGCAATCGCTTGTCGATAGACCACGAAAATGCCACCCTCGGTCAGGCTGCGACTGTTCAAAGTGTTTTCGGAGAAAGATTTCTGTCGTGGAGTGATGGGTCGGAAAAGAAGATCGCGGGTGAAGCACAAAAGCTGCCTATTAGGAGGTGGACGATTACGCGGTGAACGTGGATGGCAAATGCTGATTGGTATTCTGAAACACAATCGGACTCTTACGTGGGGCTCCTTTTCAACGAATTTGGTGCCCGCGTTTTTAACGACTGGAATTGGTAATAAGACATGAAGAACAGACAGTTGTTTTCAACAACTCCTACTTCTACTTTTAAATCACCTACGCACGAAAACTATACAAATGCGTATGGGTATTGGCCACGTTAAAATGTCACTCGACAGTGGTCTCAAGGAAATGCGGATAACCGAAACAAAGAGGCCTGTACTACTTCGTATTTTCAAAAAAGACCATATTGCAATACTGCACGATTTATTTCCAGTACGAACCATAATGCAGAAAGTGTGATGTTTATCCAGCGCTTTAGCATGGCAACAAAGCAACTACATGAAAACAGATAAAAAATCAAATAGCAGGGGTAAAAGGATCGTGTTACCAGGATACAGATAAACTAACATAAAGTGCTTTTTGCTGACATAGGAGGAGCTTCCATCAATTAATAGCAACCGCTTCAGTAAACTCTAGCAATCTTACGACTCGTGACTTGTAGGCAATACAAAACACTGTGCTTCTGTCAATCTGGTGTTGCGTTATCGGCAGATGTCGAGCAATGGCTGAAGACGGGGTCTTGTAGTTTCAACCGTCGTTTCTATACCACAGACTTGACCTTGAATGGGTCATTTGAATTTGTACCCATTTTGTAATATGTTTCACCACCCGATTGCGTAATTGTCGCTTTTTCTGCCCACGTAGGTCGCTCCGCAACGACATTGGAAATGGTAGATTCAATTAGAGTTAGCGTACAGAGGCAGACATTCATTTACCGGGGATGTTGTTATACTAGTTGTCGGTAGATGATTTGGGGCTCCACTGCAAAGTAGGTTCTAGCAATTGCCGATCTCAGTCGTTTGTTGAGCAGGCAGCTTACGTCATCACCTTTGAATTGAAGATATAATGTGACCCGCAATTTCGGAACTGACGCAACCGGTTCTTCACACTTCTCGGTTTGCCATGCTTATTATTTAACGCTTCGAGGTAAGCGGTCTTGCTAATAACTCCCGAAGGTTTTGCAGTTATTGTTCAATTCTGTCTTCCGGGCAGATTCACCTTGTTCCGTCAAATAAGGTTTGCACAAGATCACGTTTATACTCTAGAGGCATAAAGCTCTCGAAGTACAAATGTTGGCCATAGATTTTTGTTTCTTATCTTCGCTCAGATCAGAAGATTTCAAAACAAGGTAGGTCGAAAGCTCGTAGTCGGATGGCACAAACTTCTGGCAAGCACAATTACCCTTCTGAACTGCCCAGAAACAGTTTCCAAACCCGACGTGGTTCACCAAATGAATCTTGTGACGCAGACAGGTATGCACGACTTCATCACCCGAGAATGATAGCATACCATCTGGTTCATAGTTTTTTAATTGCCAGTATGTCTACAAGTTACTGTACTTCCTCAGTTTCTCTATCCTCGTTTGATGAAAGAATATGCAAGCTCCCATTCGGTTACCTCTATCCGAACAGGTGTTTCACAAACAATACCACTTAACATTTTCACTCAACCTCTGTAAGTAAAACACACCAGCTCCTACGTTGACCGAATGTTTAATGCATGCGCGTGAAACACACACCTGTCAACCATAGTCTTTCAACTCGAGCAATAGATGCTGAGACGAGCAAGTGCAGTTTAGGAGTTCATTTCAGAGAACAGTCAATCATCGATACATGACACAATTCACGAACTCGCCGTCACTAGGAAAACACAGATAGATACAACCAGAACGACGACGACGACGACAACAACAACAACAACAACAATAAGCTATTCACGTGAACGCTGTCAGTTGAACGAGCACATGAGCACAGGTACGGCATATGAGGATTTCCCTCACCCCTTCCCCAGTTCCCGGTTTCTCTTGTTGTTTCGTGTACGACGTTTGGCGTTTAACACTTGGAGGGGCGAAGAGGGGCGGGGTGAATAGCTGTCAGTCAACAAACGAGCACACACACTTACACACACATACACACAAACCTTTTTCGGTTGTTTCTTGATTCGAGTTATGAGGAAGAAATCGTCGAAAAGGAAGGCGAATATTTCCACAATTTTACTGCCATCTGCGAAACGAGAAAAAAGCACGGGTAGAGGAACAGAAATTGACATCAGTACCCCCGGGGTGTTGGCTAGTAAATGCAGCGTGTCAACGTCCTACGGTTGGATAAGGACAATAGAAAGCAACTCATGCCCGTATTTAAAATCCTTCTATAGGTGCGGAAAAAGATTCTATTGCAACCTCTATTGTTAAAAACACATTCAATTCTAGAATAACAAAAGAGCTTAATCATGATGGACGTAATCATAATCGTATATGGAAGTTAAATAATGACCAAACTGGTCAATGGATCACTGTCTGAGGTTCCTCCAGAGAGAGTATTTTTTCAAAAACTGAAAGCAATCAAATATATTGCAGTAAAGCACATGTTCAATTATGTCACTGTTAACCTTGTCTATGGAGAAATTATAGAAATTATCGGACTGACCAACCTGAGTTGTGTAAAATACATGATCTGTTGGACAGTGTGATAAAAGGTACCCTACAGGCCACTCTATTCACATATAATTGGTTAGCTGTGAATAGCAACAATGCGGAATCGAAACGTTCTTCCCGTTTTGAAGGATGTGTGCATATTCAGACAGTACGTCAACTAATTCCCACATTATCCGTACTTCAAAAGCA